ACCTCCGATATGCAGATGATACCACTCTGGTGGCAGAAAGTGAGGAGAATTAAACAACCTCTTAATGAGGGTGAAAGAGGAGAGCGCCAAAAAATGGTCTGAAGCTCAACATCAAAAAAACTAAGATCATGGCCACTGGTCCCATCACCTCCTAGCAAATAGAAGGGGAAGATATGGAGGCAGTGACACATTTTACTTTCTTGGACTCTATTATCACTGCAGATGGTGACAGCAGCCACAAAATTAAAAGACGCCTGCTTCTTGGGAGGAAAGCAATGATAAACCTAGACAGCATCTTAAAAAGCAGAGACATCACCTTGCCGACAAAAGTCTGCATAATCTAAGCTATGGCTTTTCTAGTATTGAAGTATGGAAGTGAGAGCCAGACCATAAGGAAGGCTGACCGCCGAAGAATTGATGCTTTTGAATTGTGCTGGAGGAGACGCTTCAGAGTCCCCTGGACTGCAAGGAGAACAAACCTATGAATTTTGAAGGAAATCATCCTGAGTGCTCACTGGAAGGACAGATCCTGAAGCTCAGGCTCCAACACTTTGGCCATCTCATGAGAAGAGAAGACTCCCTGGAAAAGACCCTGATGTTGGGAAAGTGTGATGGCAAGAGAAGAAGGGGACAACAGAGGATGAGATGGTTGGACAGTGTCATCGAAGCTACCAACATGAATTTGATCTCTAAAAGAACGGATTTAAAAGTGCCACAACCAAGGAAGGTAGCAGGGATAGGTGGCTTACAATTTGAGGTTTGGCTGCAGGGGGTGGGGGTGGGGGATAGCGCTCTGCTCATTACCCCCCAGGATTTTCACTTTTACCCCATTTGGGGTAATTTATCCCTGTTCCCCAACCACTGGACTAAATGGACTGACTCCTGGAGGCAGCATGCCGCCCACTCTGGTAAGGGTGAGCTGGCCAGATATAATCCAGTCAAATCAGGAGCTAGAACTACCGACATGTAGGTATGGCTGGAAATAAAGTATTTGAAAAGCCTGATCAAACAAAGGAAAAGTCTTAACCTGGTGATGAAAAGAAAGCAGGGTTGTTACAAACCAAATTTCGTTAGGGAGACGGTGCCACGGTTAAAAACAAAACCCACCACTAACACCAAATTGAGATCTTGAAGGGGGAAGAACTTATCGTTGTAATTTCCTGGCCGGAACATTTAAATTTTATAATTAGTATTTGCTCAAATATTTCCTCTGGTTAATGAACTGTGGTTTTCAGCTGCAGTCTAGAGGCTCTGTCAGTTAAAGATCTGATTCATACTTATAACCACAATGTGGAGGCTGCTTGGAATGGAATCCGCAGAGCAGGCTGTGGGGGGAGTGGGCAGACGAAGACCACCTGATGGTCTTGGGGACAGCTCAGATGATGCGCCAGAATATTAAGCTTTCATTAAGGGGGGGGAAAGGAACCCCTTTTTTCTCTTTACATTGAGAAGAATCAACAAAAATAATGCAGACTGTAGTTTACCTCATTGCTCTCCTAAGTGCAGAACCTGTTTCCACCTACCAGTATTCTGTGTAAAAAAGCAAAAGGTTTGGTTGACAAGCTCTTGTTGGCACTTAGTGCATCAGTATTAGGTGACATTTCATTGTAATTTTAAGGTGGTTGGTATTAGTTGTGCTAGACAACATAATTGAACATTTGTTGTTCCAAGTAGACATAGGATGGTCTCCTCCCTATGGGATAATTACTTATTTGTTAATTGCAAGTTTATGACATGGCTGGGTGAAGATTCTGGGAATAGTCCAAAAAGTTATTTTCTTGTGTGCTGCTCTCCCATTTATCTTCAACATTGTTTCTAGCTAAAAGTAGCCCTTTGTGTTTTTGCAAGCATAAGAAAAAATGTGTTTTGGACACAGTTCCCCCAAATATTTTCTAAATTCTTTGTACACAACCCCGCCTTCATGCATATTTCTGTATCCTGATCTAAAGGAAAGCCAAGATCTGGAAAAATAAGGGGAATTTTTTCTAAAAGTCCATTCATTATGCCAAAGAATTACTTTTATGAACTTCTTCAGTGCAACTGATTCATATATGAAATCATACTTTCTAGTATAATTTTTGACTGCTGGATGAAGTTTGGAAACAGATTTTCAGAGGAAAAAAACAAAAGAAAAATTAAAAAAAGCCAAAACAGTTGTGGTACCTTAAAGACTAACACTCCAACACTGGAGACATTCAAGAGAAAATTGGACAACCATCTGTCTGGTCTGCTTTGATTTGGATTCCTCCATTAGGCAGGACTCAGCAACTTTATAGGTCCCTTTCAACTCCATTATTATATGAGATATTCTAATGTGAGCTTTCATGGACAAGTTCACTTCCTCAGACAGAGCTCTCTGTACATTTTAATTTACAACATGTATAATTTGCTAATTCATATATATAAGGATTTTTCTTTCTTATATGAATATTTACTGATATACATAAGAGACTTGTGATTGATGAGTGTGATTTAAATGTTTTTCTGTCTTATGAATTTATTACCTTTGTAACTGCTGTATTTCAAAAGCTCCTGAAGGTTTCCAAATAATTAATTGGCTTAAACCCAATTGGGCTCTTTTAGTTAATAAAGCCCATTTCCCCACAACTTTAGACTTCACACTTCAGTCCACTTTCATTGTTATGTGCGAAATATGAAGAACCCTGGTCAATTTTGATAGTTCATTGGATGCATTACAGCAAGGAAAGGGGAATCCTAGTCCTTGGAGGTTCTAGTGATGCCCCACTCTCATGGGAAGTCAGATGGGGCAGAATGAATCCTTGGGAAGGCAAGTGGGGTGAGAGGCAGGAACCATGTATTATCAGAGACTGAGAAAGCAACCGGCTTGGCAAACTCAGGAAGACAAGTGGGGCAAGGGGATACAATTGCCTAACTTTGCTCGCCTCTCACCTTTCCCTGCAGGGGAAAGACAGGGAAGAGGCCACAGATTCCTCCAAACTGAGATTGAAGGGGGATAGCAATGGAGGTCGATTAAACTGGCCTAAGCTAAAATAAGAAAGCAGTTGGATGTTAAATATTAGATAAGGTCCTACATACTTTCCCTGCAGGGAAGGTGAGAAGAGGATCAGGGCAACTGAAAGACAGGAAAGAGGCCACAGATTCCTCCAAATTCAAATTGAAGGAGGATAGCATGGAGGTCGATTAAACTGGCGTAAGCTAGAATAAGAAAGCAGCTGGATGTTAAATATTAGATAAGGCCCTACATATTTTGATGTCATTGGAACCATGTATTATCAGAGACTGAGAAAGCAACCGGCTTGGCAAACTCAGGAAGACAAGTGGGGCAAGGGGATACAATTGCCTAACTTTGCTCGCCTCTCACCTTTCCCTGCAGGGGAAAGACAGGGAAGAGGCCACAGATTCCTCCAAACTGAGATTGAAGGGGGATAGCAATGGAGGTCGATTAAACTGGCCTAAGCTAAAATAAGAAAGCAGTTGGATGTTAAATATTAGATAAGGTCCTACATACTTTGATGTCATTGCAAGGAAAGAAAAAGTGGAGAAAGACTCTGCTATCATTTACACAAGATTTCCCCTTCCATTAGCCACCCACAGGATCTCGGCAACCACAGGGAAAAGGGCAAACAGCCTCCAGCAGAGAGAAACTGGAGCAGAGAATGTGCTTTTTGACACCTATGAAGAATAAGCACAAAACTATGTAAGTAGTTTCAGTTCTGCTTGATGAAAATCTCCTTATGCTCTCTAGTTTTTGAGGCTTTGATGTAAAATGCACAGTGCCAAGGCAGGCCACACCACTATGGAAGACTCTTTCAGAATGACCCACAGTAGGTATGACCAAGTAAAAAGCTGTCCCAGTTCATAACATATGTGAGGGCTTTCTCCAGGGCCTTTCTAATGATTACACTGTATCCAAGTATCTGTCAGCCACTAGAACAGACACCACTGGTGGCACAAACCCACTATTTCTCCCTCTCCTCTAGAGCTCTGTGCCCCCCCAAAATTTACTCCAGAGCTGACTTGGAAGGAAAGAAGGGAAAGTCCCACTTACGGCTGTAAATCCTTTCTCCTCTTCTTCTCACATGTTGGGAGTGGGGGGAGGAGGTTCTGTCATGCAAGAACAAGGAACCATGATTTCCTCCATCTACCCTTTGCCTGTGAGACAGGAAGGAATTTTCTTTTGGTCTCACTGATAGGTTTTATATTTGCCATATTGAGCTTTATTCAAATTATACTATACAAATTGTACCTTACAAAGATTTCACAAGCATCTAGTATACTTTTGCATCCTTTTTGAACAAGCAACCAGTCCTTCTGTGCTTGCTGCCTATACATATTTTGCTTCACAAAAGGAAAAGACATTCACTTTTCCTGAGACTTTTTGTGAATATTGTAGAAACAGTGAGCACAACAAAAGAGCTTCATGTCATTCTTGCACTGAACATACCGTATTTTTCCATTTATAATACGTCCCTGTTTATAAGATACCCCCCGCCCCGCCCCTTTTTAACCCCCAAATTAAGAAAACTTAGCTTTGAGGATTCGGCCTCTGGGCTCAGAACAGTCTGACATTTTGAGTCCCGGTTGTATCTGAGTCTACAGGCTCCGCCCCCAATTAGGTATGTTTCAATTGGTTTGTTCAGGATCAGCTGACATCAGTTCCATAAGTCTTGTGATTGGAGGAAGCGAAGTCTCATTACTATAGAAAGCTAAGCCTTGTCATTGAAGGAATTTGCTCAGCCTGCATTCAGATGAAAACCTACTAATTGATTTAGGGAGTTGAAAGCTTATTACTAAGTGTGCAGAACAGAACCAATCCCTTTTTAGGTTTTCTTCCTGTCTTGTTCTTCCCTTGTGCCAAATTTTAGATTTCATAATCTAAAGAGGTCAAGGCCCGGTTCTATATGAAACTTCAAGTTCTCCTATGTCGATACAGCAGCCACTCAACCAGTTAAAAAAACCCACCAAACACTGTACTAAAATATTAAAATATGAACTTAACAATTAACACAACACCCAAGTAAGAAATCAGCTCTTTATTATAAACCATTTGGAGAACAAAACAGATTATCAAAAGATACAGAAAGCTAGAGCTTCAGGAAAAAGGATAACTTCCAAGCGATGGATCAAAAGCTCACATGATGTGAGTAACTCATTGCAGATGATGCTTTCACCATTAGCTCTGGCAGCCCAAAATGGTCAGTGTTCTGGAAAACTGGAGGAGGTCCTCACACAGGTTCTGGAATTCTTCCTCTTGGCATTCATCATCATCTGGCCATCTCTCAATCCAGGTATCCTTGCTGATCAAGTAGTTGACACTGGAAAAGAGAGGAGGGAGATTTGTATCTTTGTTTTACAGGCAAACTGATCAAACAGGTGCTGTGGAGGCATCTTCTAGGGTTGGACCCAATTGACAACAACCATGTTTCACAGAATTCATATTCCAACCTCATCAAACTGCCACCTTTGTTTTCATTGTACCTTGGATAAATGATGCAAATTTCTTATAATGGGAAGAGAATTGGAAGAAACAATATTTTGTTTTTCTCTGAAACGTCTGAGGTCCTTTTTGAATTTTGAGAAATTCAAAATAGCTAAACACACAAACTACGATAGGTTTCTTTACAACCAGGTGAGGGCAACATTACAGTAGACATCAACTGAAAGCGTATCAGAAAGGAGAGATCTCTTCAGGGTCCCTGGGACGAACTGTTCCAGGATCAATCTGGCAGATTAGACAAGGTGTTACAGTGGGGATTCTTGACAATCCTCTGGTCCTGTGGCCCTGCCCACTCCCAGATGTCCAATTTCACTTTCCACACACAGTGAACGTCCTCTTGTGTACTGTTCCCATCCAGTTAGACAGAGGATGTGTGTGTATGAAAGAAATCCACTAATTTGCACGCCCAGACAGCTGTTAAGAAGGTGAGTGAGGTGTGTTGTAATCCCTGCAATATCTCCCATCAGTGACTAAAGGTAAAAAGACATTCTCTACCCCCTCTTGTCTTCCTATTTGCCAAGGCTACCAATGAGTAAAGCAATATTCCCACTCTGGGGGGGGGGAGTAGATAAGAGGCTCTGCTGGCCAGACAGGCTTTTCCCTAGAGCTGCAGAGAAATGTACATTTTTACGGATTGTTCCCCATGCAGCTCATTTTATTTGAAAGATTCAGGGTTGGGGTGATTCTGAAAACAAAACTGTGGTTGAAGCAAACTTGTTTGAAATACAAAGCCATACTTTGCACTCCTGTGCAGGTTTAATCAGAATTAAAACCCACTGATTTCAATAGGGTTGAATCTCAAGTAAAAATGTTTAAGAAACTGTTAAATAATATGGATTTAAATGTTGGCTCAGAATCATTTACAAAACCATAATATACCTTCAAATTCTTGCATCATTTCCATGAACGATATCATATCGCTTTTGTTTTTGGCTTCCCAACGTTAGCGACTACAGTTATTAGCTGATACACTCTAGGCATGCTAAGCTAAGGTATTCTCCTCTTAATATGAAGAGACAAACCAAAGGGAAGAAAAAGCTATTCTGATGGGTCACAGCAGACACTTCTGGTCCAACCAGCACCAGAGACTATAAAATATTTCAAGTTTGTCACATGAAATGAAATACATACGTATCCTTTGTTGGCCACATATCAGTGCTGAGACCCCAGATCAGATAGTCCTTGTTCTCCTGCAGGTGGAGGGATTCTCTGCATTTCATCTGACTGATAAACTTGCGAGGACTGGCTGCTGGATTTGGGTCACTCCCTGAAGGAATCAGACAAAACATTACAAAATGTTTGCATTCGGCCATATAATGGGCTGACCTGTTTAGTAGCTGATAAAAGAAAATATGGGGGGAGAATCAGCGGAGGAAAAAAACAGAAGGAGAACCTTGTATAGGTGTGATTTTGCCTCAACTCTCCTAGGGTGCATACAGATTTATTTACTTGGAATAATCAAGTTACTGTATATCCACACTTGTTACATTGGCATGAAAAACACAAGCTTCAACGACAAGCCAGGTTGTACTTTTGGCATCACCAAGGGCTTGTCTCTAGGGTGTCTTTGGAGTGAGCTGGAGTGGGCTAAACAGGAGTGCTAGGAGGCCCAGTATGCCATTTGACGCAGTCCTCGCCTCCAAAATGATATAAGAACCTTGAGCAACTCTATTTGGTCCACCTCAGCCCACTCTCCATTTGCCACTGGACGGTGAGAGGCTCTGCTTTAGTTTAAAAAAAAAAAGACCAAAGGAAAATTTCTTCCTGGAAGTGAGAAAAGACAGGAGGGGGCAATGAGGGGGTATTTTTGTTGGCTTTTCTCTTAAAGGTCCATTGCAAGCTTACCCACAGCCAAACTGAGCAGATTTTTGACCAGTCTTTTATTTTATTTTAAATGTGTTGCAATGTGTCTGTGCTGCTCTAATAGGCATAACTTTTCTTAAAAACTTGCTTAGCCCCTTCACAGAGCCAAAGAAGCATTTAATTTGCCAATATCCTGAAGTGGCTCTCTTCCAGTTCCCAGAGCAGTATTTCTTTCTTTGGTAATTTTTTTTTAAAAAGAGAACCTCACATCATCATTCACTTATGAAGCAATAACAACTTCCAGATGCTTCATATTTGGTTGAAACTAAATCTAGTTAGTACAAAACATATGTCCATTTACAGCATAGTTTTACAAGTTGTAAATGAAGGCTGTATTTCATAGCATCTTCCTATTGATGGGAGGCTCTTCAATCTAGAGAATGTTTCCATTAGTGGAAGAACATTTGAGCCCATTTCTTGTCACTCCCTGCCTCCTTCACCCCATGATACTCCAAACATACACCCAACTCTCTTGACCAGATTTAAAGGAAGCAACTGGAGAGAGAGAAGACTAGTAAAACGTGAGTACCCCCACTGTCTGACAGAGGCCTTGATCCATTTCTGGCTGTATGAATGTGTATAACCTTTTGCAAACTCATGCAAGGAACAACCATGTGGTTTCCATGCCTTCCCCTACCTGCTGTTTCTCCTCCTCTCCACTGATGGCATACTTTGTTGTCGTCATTGCCCAGCTGGTATCCACCTTAACAGAAGTGCCAGCTGCCCAAAGTGATCAGCATATTGTTGAATCCAAGTCCAGCTTAAAGACACACTGGTCCCTTAGAGAGGCTGGTGCTTCTGCAAAGTAGGAGACCAGCTGGGCAGCAAAAACAACAGGCAACTGCTGGGCCAGGAGCAAGGGGGAGGCAACCTAGTGTAGCCACACAGTAATGCTGAATTGGATCTGGACTAGAACTTCAACTGCATCAAAAAACCTTCTGCCAACAGAATGACACACTGGATAAAACCCAAAGTTTATATCTGCTGGTGGTGTTTTGAAAGGCAACAAACTCATGCTCAATAAGATAAATGTGCATTGGGCTTCAATGATGACAAACAACAATATCTCACATGAGTTATGGAGGAGGAGCAAAGGGGAAAACGATAGTTAGTTCCCCAGGGATCTGTGCAGTTTTGGATTTTAGCTTCCAGAAACCCCATCTAGCACAGCCAGTGGTAAGCCATTTTAAGAGAGATAGCTCAAACACCCGGAGGATCAAAGTTTTCTCACTCCTTTTGTAGAATATAAAACTAAAAATCAGTGACCTAGAGACTAATGTATCCTTTCAAACTTCTGTGGTATCCAGGATGTAGTTTCCTTCAAAACCCGTATCCTTACCTGCTTTAATAACTTCCACAACTTCCATGAAGTAGTTGTCATAACCATTGTCCTCTTCGATTCGAATCAGCTTGGTTTTGTACACTTGAGAGCAAACACAGAGAAAAGTTAAAATGCTTGTGTGCTTTTTGTCCTGAAGACCTCATCTCCTGAACCGAGGGGGAGACTTGAACTGCTGGATAGCTCAGTGGTTTAGGCAGTGGTTGGGAGTTTGATTCCCCGTTGTGCTGGCTTAATAGGGATGATCTATAGGATCCCTTCCAGCTCTACAGTTCTTCTTCTTATTATTAATTTTTACTGCTGCTGAAGTTTCTGTATGGGTTGCATAGTGTATTTTAGTACCAATAAATCCAGAGGCTGCTCATTTATCCAAATCCATTTCTAAGAGCCACTGGGGTGTAGTGGATAGAGTGATGGGCAAGAACTCAGGAGACCAGGGTTCAAATCACTGCTCAGCCATATAAACTCATATGGGATGAGTGACACTCATAAATCTACTTCATAAATATCTCACATAACTTGAAAATCTTATTAGAATCAATGTAAGATGGATGCAACCTGATGGCACGTAAACTCACAACTGTGGGACATATGAGCTGTAGTGGTACATCTGAAACCTGATAGGCACAACTAGCTGCAGTATCCTGGCCATAGAAAAGGGTACTATGGATATGCTTATAGTAGGAGTTCACCAAGGGGAAACTGCAGGGAGACAGCCAGCCAAATTTGCTGGGAAGAAATTTGAAGCACTAACCCCCAAGGACTAGCTTTTGGTAAGTATGTTAACTATTATACATCAAATATTGTCACTGGCTCATTTACAGGATTTTGCAATCTAGATAGCCATTACCATAATCTACTCCTTGCTCGCAGGCTAATTTAACTCGTAGCTGCAGATCAATCTCTTCCTTCATTTTGTTAAGCAAGGAGCAACTTTCTGTGAGAGAAGAACACACAAAAAGAAAGAAAAACAGGGAACATTAAACATTTAAGACATAATTCAAAGAGGGTTCTCCCCCCCAAAGCATCATGGCATTCTCTTATCAATTCTAAATTTAGTTTTGTTTTAAAACTTTTGCTTTGCTTTTTGTTTTAAAAATAATTGCAATTGAGGATCAATCTTAATGTATAACGTAATGAAATTACTGAACTTCAGTTAACATTGCCAAACTTCTCTGGGACACATTTTGACAGGATGCATCCTCATTCCCTTTAAACAGTAACTTTCCAATCTCTGACCCTCCTGAAAGGCTAGTTATTTTTCTCCCCTTTCCTACCCATTCCTTTCTGCTTTTTTCTCATATCTTTCATGGCTATACCAGTCGATCCAAACTACAGTTCAGTAAGTAATCAAGTAAGTAATCAAGTAAGTAAGTAAGTAAGTGAGTGAGTGAGTGAGTAAGTAAGTAAGTATCATCCTCCTGAATCCTGGTGATATTTGGTGCAGTGTTTCTCTCTTTCTCTCTCCTTACAGTTTCTGGACTCCCAACATAATCTCACTTGTTGATCTTCTTCCCTTCCACAGTCACTTCTCCCAACTCATGGCTAAGTCTTTCCAGACAGCAGCCTACCTCCCCCCCCACCTTATTCTTTTTTGACTTTTCAGATGAAAAAAACAGATTGGATGCACCATAGAGTGAGGCTCCCATTGCTCTCAGCATATTCAGTTTTCCAGAGTGCTTCTGGCTCCACATGCACCCTTGAAGGCCCTCTGGGGAAGCAAACGTGCCGAGCACAACACTATGTTTGCTCCCAACTTCATTGATAAGGAAAAACACAAAAAGTCATTGTGGGCTTGTATCAGGCAGTTTGGAAGGCTCTTAGGACTATGGAGATTCAAACCAGCAGCCTGGGGTGCTGCTTTAGTGCTACTTTGGAGAGAACCTAAAAAAAAGTTATTTCCAGATAATCATCTGTGCCTGCTGCCAGTATACCAGAGTAGTCCAGCCTTTTATAATTGCCTTTCTTATTTCAGGATTTTTAAATTTAAAAAAATCATTTCTGGGGAAGGATTAGAATGTTGATAGGGTTTTTAAGATTTAAAATTACTTTAGACCTCCTTTAAAGTTAGCATGCAGGATAAAAGAAAAAATAGAGAACAAGGTAAAGCAGGGGTGTCCAACCTTTCACCTTCCCTGGGCCACATTAGAAGATGAAAATTTGGTTTGGGCCGCACATAAATTTGGTTTGGGCCGCATGGGGGGGCAGCCCTAGCCATCCTCCGCAGCTCCGCTCCAAGCGTGCTTACCGGCAGCAGCGATCTCAGACAGCAGAGGCTGCCAACTTTGACTCCGGCGGCTTTATGGGGCCGGGAGGGGGTCCACCTATTGACGGGGATGGCGCAATGCAGTCACACAGCCCCCCCTGTCCCCTCCCCTCCCACTCCTTCCTTCCTTCCCTCTCTCCCCCTCTACTATTGTGATATGCCCCGGCCACATTCCGGCCGCAAGTGCCGGCAGTGTAACTTGAAACTTTGGAATTTCTTGGAAAATAAAAAATTGCACTGGGCCGCATTACGAGCTGACCTGGGCCGCATGCAGCCCTCGGGCCGTGGGTTGGACAAGCCTGAGGTAAAGCATACCAACTGATAACACATATTGGCCAAAATCCTGCTGCGTAGCTATGCCAGCACAATGGAAGTGAACTTACCAGTAGTGACTGATTTCCAGTAATTAAAGTATTCCTTCTTCAATTTCAGATTGTGTGCAACTCGACGCCTTGCATGAAATTGTGTATACTATGATATGAAATATATGAAAGCAGGAGCCCTTTAATTAGTGACCATTTGTCCAGTGATATCATTCCTCTTGCACCAATGGAGCTACACAACAGGATACCAGCCATGAGCCATATAGCACTTCAGATTACCCAGATTGCAGACATGGGCTGAGACCACAGTTTTACTAGCCCACATGGGCAAGAAGTAGGAATTGTATTGGGTACTTTCTGGTCATTCTGCCTCTACATTCTGCCTCTACTTGTTCTCACATTACTGGTAATGATGATGGAAAGAGTAATACTCTTACTGTATATACCCCTTTTCTGAGAGGAAATTGTAGTGTGACCTATTCGCATGGCTCTTTACTTACCAGAAGGACTTCAGAGCTCTCTGGAATGGAGAACTTACTAT